GAGCCAATTGCCCTTGCTAACATCCACCATGTGGTCAGTTTAGCTCAGCAAATAGATCGATATCAAATTATCCCAATTCACCTTCATAACTCTTAAGCCAGCAAGAGTGGAGGGGAGACAGGGTCATTGGGAATAAATAGCCATAACCGCCCTTTGTGATCTATCACCTGAAGACAGTGGCAGCATCCAGCGCCAGCTGCTGACAGGGTCATTAATAAAGCCCAGGAAAGCGCTGTCAGCTACAGTGAAGGATAGCCACAGGTCAGGCACAGGACCCGCTTCATAATGGCAGGGTACAGGATGCTCCACCTGTGACCTGAGCCCTTCTCCCAGGTGGGCAGTGAGTACTGCCCAAACAGTGCTGGATGCCCCTGTCCGTGGACACTTTTACCCACTGATGGAGCACCTCTAGCCTCTTCTGCGAATGAAACATCTGAAAGTTGGTGATGTTGGGTTTTTTTCCTGTTTGTTTTGGTTTTGGTTTTTCAAGACAGGTTTCTCTGTGGCTTTGGAGACTGTCCTGGAACTAGCTCTTGTAGACCAGGCTGGTCTCGAACTCACAGAGATCCGCCTGTCTCTGCCTCCTGAGTGCTGGGATTAAAGGCGTGCGCCACCACCGCCCAGCCTAAACATCTGAAAGTTGGAGAGTGATTGTCATAGTCTGAGGGAGAAAGGCTTAAGGTGTAGACTGCACTGCTCAGGTCCAGAGCCCTTGGTCTTCTGCCTTCAAGTATCCTGGCTACCTCCCTGGAGCGCCCCCGCCCCCCCTCGCACCTTTACTGCCTGCCTAGGGCATTGGTGTATGAGCAGAGGTCATACCTCTGGATCTGGTGTGTGCACATGTGATACACATGGACACTGTCCCTGTAAAACTGAGCATGTGTAGGGAGTCTGGTGTCTCTGCACACTGTCACAAGTGACCATGTTTGTGTTCAGGCTTCTAACAGGAGTCTTTCTGAGGACTGTGGGTATCACATGGGGCGCTCTGTTATAGGCCCAGATCAGACTCAGCTGGGTAAGGCACATCTGCATGTCCCGTCTTTGGTGGTCCTTCCCCCACTTGCTGAAGCACAAAGAAGTCATTGACTTGCAGGGAGTAGCCCCAATAGCCCCTTACAGGCTGATCATCTGTAAGGATGATAGACCTGTCAGTGTCCCTCATCCTAGTCTGTCAGAACTCTCCTCCACCCCCAGTTTAAAAAAACAAAAACAAAAACAAAAAACAGCCAGCAGCTACATGTCCATGCCTCAACCGTGTTCCCACAGCACCTGCTTTAATGGGAAAGAACTACTTGTTAGAAAAGGACAGTGAGCCAGGCGGTGGTGGCTCACAACCTTAACCCCAGCACTCGAGAAGCAGAGACAGGTAGATCTCTGTGAGTTTGAGGCCAACCTGGTTTACAGAGAGAGTTCCAGGACAACCAGGGCTACATAAGAAACTCTGTCTTGAAAAAACAAATTAAAAAAAAAAAAGAAAGAAAAGAAAGGACAGTGCTCCACCAGTCTGGCTGGCTGGATTATACACACATGCCAGCAGGCACAGATGTACACTGAACATGCATAAAACACATGTACACATGAGTGTCCACAGACAAAGCAGTCCTGGTCTCAGAAATGTCTCCCTGAATTAAACAGCTGCTTCAGAATCTCCAGCAGCCAATGTCAGTCAGCAAGAGCAGGGCTAGAAGATGTCTGGAAGAAGGAATGTAGGACTCGAAATTCCTGACAGGTCATGGGGTCCACGGGGCATCACCAGTCCTGCACTAACCCTGCACGTAGACAGCTGCTCCTGTCCCAGAACAGCAAAGTGCAACCAAAGCAGAGGAAATTCACTCTTTAAAGGGCGTTTGAAACATTGTGGAAGGGCAGGAGAAAATAGCTGATCTCAAATGCCTCCCCCACCCCTCCCCCACATACCAGTTTATTGAGTAGGAGGTTCATGCTATCTTTGCTTTGTTCATCTTCAAGAAGTGAAACCCATAAGACTGGAGAGATAGATGACTCGGTGGTTGAGAGCACTGGCTGCTTTCCAGAGAATCCAGGTACAATTCCCAGCTCACAATTGTTTGTAATTCCAATTCTAGAGGATACAGTGCCCTCTTCTGGCTTCTTTGGGCACCAGACATGCACATATGTTATGCACAGACATACGCAGGCCAAACGCTCATTAAAAATATATAAAATCAAGATGGGCAGTGGTGACACACGCCTTTAATCCCAGCACTCGGGAGGCAGAGGCAGGTGGATCTCTCTAAGTTTGATGCCAGCCTGGTCTACAGAGTGAGTTCCAGGATAGTCTCCAAAGCTACAGAGAAACCCTGTCTG